GAAGAATTCGTGAGGTCCGTTGGTTCGTTCCGTAGCTTAGTTTGTATAGCGTCTGGCACGGTATGCAAGAAGACGTCGGTTCGAATCCGACCGGATCGAAGGAATTTTTTCTGAGTGTTTTTTCTGAGTGTTCGATCTTTGTATTAATAATTAAATACAAGTTTTTATAAATAATAATTATTATTCTGGATTGCTAAATAAATACCCTCCGTACTACCAACAAAAACATCTCAAATAAAATGCAGTAATATACCGCAAATCCTGCACTTAAAAAGCACTAATGACATTTTTGGTGTACTTGGATAAATATGATAATATTCCGTTTGAATGGTTCTAACGTTTACTATGAAATTACTCCTTAAAGTATAGTTTATAAACATTTATATTCAGGGAAAACTTAAAAAACGCTACTTGCGGTATGTTTTCAATAAATAAACACCGAAATCACCAGCCCAAACAATAACACACACGATTGTCGTGACGTATATTTGAAGGTGTTTATTTTTTTAAACGACAGACCCAGGCATTAAAAACTTTATGGTTTGCTAGAGTAGTTACCGAGATAGCAATTAATATTATCCTTTTACCTGTTATAACTTGCATATCCGATAAATCGGTATAAAATCATCACTGGCATCTCTAGGTGTGGTATGCGTCTACAGCTGCATGTATCGCGTGAGCGGTTATTATATCAATATAATAATACGCTATAACTTCGTGAGCTAGTAGACAAGGATTCTCGAATTTTCAATTTGTACTGCCGTTTAATATTTGGTAGTGAATATACTTTTACTATTAACTAGGTAATGATAAACTTGGACACGCAGTTTCAAATACTTTGGTTACCTTATTTAAAGGTACCTGTCCAAAAGTGCTTTTATTTCATTATTCTAATTACTGAATTAATGAAAAATATAATATTATGTCGATATAAATACGTAATGAACATGTGTAATTATAAATAACAGATACGCGTTAGTATTTTCGCAATGTTACCGCTCTGACCACGTACGAGAAAGTGATGGGTAACCCTGCCACTTTACTCACACATTTGCGAGTGTGCAGATAGCGCCATGCTGTATGTAGTAGTAGTAGGTAAATAACTTTCGACCGTTGTATGGAGTATCCGGGGTGTGCCATAATAGAAATTTCGACAAATAAGAAATGAATTTAGGATTAGCTCAATTTGGCGCTGCGACGGATTTAGGACGAGCAATGTAATATAACCTTTATCTTCAATGAGAGTACATTTACATTAAACTGCATGCGACATACGGTTCTAATCTGTTGTTTAGAAATATAAAGAAATTTATAATTTGATTATGAATCATCATTCAGCCATACGACGCCCACTGCTGGGCATAGGCCTCCCCCAACGATCTCCACGACGATCGGTCCTGCGCTGCCCGCAGATTGATTATGAATACAAAGATCGAACACACAGAAAAAAATTTCTTGATTGAGACTTAAACCCACGTCCATGCAGCATCGTAGCATTGCTCTAACCATCTGAGCCATGGATCCAGCTACCGAGTCGTCGAAATTCTCCTATGTGTTTTTATTATAGACTTTTGTATACTGATTTTTCGTCGCTGCTAGTGACATCTAGTGAGAGATTTTTGAATAACCTTCTCACCGCAGCCGATACCTTTACAGGCATCACAACTGACGCAGGTGATGCTTGTCGATCAAATGTTTTAACTCCACTAGATTTGTTATGAATATGACTAAACAAAGATCGAACACACAGAAAAATTTCTTCGACCCGGTGGGACTTGAACCCACGTGTTGGGTCGTGTGTGGAAATCGACAGACTTACTTAAGTTGGTCTCGGTTGTACACGAATGTTGTTTTGTTGAGTTATAATCCCAGTACAGAGTACTAAAAAAACCGACCTCAAAAGTACGTGGAATTACGTCTATTTGCTAAGTTTTATTGAAATATCCTCTTGTTCGCCACTATACAGGACTTGACGCTGGTGATAATAAAAATACGTTCTCACTACGACACTACTCAAAGTATATTGACAGAAAAACGTCTTGAATTGAAGAAATAGCAAAATCAACCATTAAAGTAATTGCTCCTAAATTAAAGTTAGGCGCTATTTATAAAAGTGAATCTTCGTGCGTGAACAGCCACCCTTCGATGTGGATGATTTCTTCAAAATGAAATGGGACCACTATGGAAGTACCCCCTTTCCAAGAAAAAAAGAATCATGAAAATCGGTTCACAAATACCGGAGTTATCGCGTAACATACATACAAAAAAAAAGAAAAAAAAAAGAACATACAGTCGAATTGAGAACCTCCTCCTATTTTGAAATCGGTTAGTAAATAATTGACTTTTTTTCAGATTATTGGACTTAGAAGACCAGTTACTGGCTGATGCACGGAGAAAGAAGAGTAACAGAGCCGAAAGTGAGGCGTTGCCTTTAGACAAAATTTATACATATGAAGAGGTATTTGACCTTAAATTTTATAGTTTGTAAGTAGGCGTTCTCGAAAGTACAAGAAACCCTGTATTGCGAGTGCCATAGACACGTACATAAACAACCATAAATAACATCAAAACTCACCAGAGAAACAAGTGTAGGCCATACAAATATATCTCCCGGTCAGGGAATCGAACCCAGGATTTCTGCGTGGCAGACCAGCGTGGTAACCGCATCAGCAGCTATCACGGATTCCCTCACGAATATCCTTAAATTATCACCGGCCCGACTTTATGTAAAAAATGAGTATCTTCCTTTCCTTAACACTGGCGTACTCATCGATTGTATCGATGCATCTATAACACTATAAAAAAGAAAAAGAATCCGTAACATACATTGTTTTTTTTTCAGATTGATGAGTATTTGGAAAAAATCGCAGAAGCACACCCTGATGTCGTCACCCTGGTTGTTGGTGGTTACAGCTTTGAAGAACGACCCATAAAGTACTTAAAGATTTCGACTACTAACTTCCAGGTGAATATTTTACAATAATAACTTGACTGTTACAAGTCATTAATCACCATTACTAACCCAATTGTACGTATGAATGTAACTGTTTATTGTTAAGAAATCAGATCGTGGAAGCGGGTTTCGTCTCTTAAAAGTGAAATGCGTCATTTTGCGTTAAAAAATACAATAGCAGCTTGTTTATCAACAGCTACGAAATTAATAAATATGAAATCTAATCTATGAATCACATTTGCAAAATGACATCTCTTCAATAATTCTACTAACAAAATTAGTCGAATTTCATATTTTGTTTTTATGATACCCGCACCCGACACTCTGAGACGTCATAAGTTGACAAGTCCCATATGTCTGTAATTTCATCAGCAGTCTTACCTTTCCAAAAATTCAAATAATCTGAAACACTTGAAAACGTTACATAGATTAAACTCTACTGGTCATTAGTAAGGCATAGTCAGAAGAATGAGCAAGAACTCTAGAGGTTGCTCTTTTTACATAAATATACATTTGAATACATTTAACATTTTTCAATATTTATAACAAACATTTTAGATTGAGACAACCTGAAGGAGCTAATCAGGTTACAACCACGGATCCTTACCATCCAAGTACGCGAAAGCTATGTAATAACCTTTAGTTTAAAGTATTTGTTTCACAATAGTTTTAAACCTCGTAAATGGCCAATTTTGCCTAGCCACCGGAATCTTACTATAGAAGCTTATACATTGCCTCTTAAACGATTTTTTTTATTTTGTGAAGTCGACTGTCAAGAATAACTAGTTTATTTATTTATTTTTTTCGAAACTGAAACACAATAATGTTTACAGTACTGCTTGGCGGCAGACATAGGTAAGGTGGTAGTACTTCCCTACCTAATAATGTATAATATGCTTTCAATATGTTTATATGTCTAATGTTTGACCGGACACATTGAAACTACATTTATTTTGTACATGAATGAATTATGATGTTGATTATAATAATGATCGTAAGTCTCCGGGTGACGGCCACAGGGTCAGATTTTTGCGATTTAATTATCACCTGACAGACGAGCGTATCGCATACCAGCAGGCCATGACATATTTTTATTTGTTCTGTCACTTGATATCATAATAACCTAACCTAACCTCTGGTTAAAAAACCGACCTCAAAAGTCATTCATCCCCTAGTTTGCCGCCCTTAGAGGTGGAATATTTTCTTAAAATTTAAATCGGACCACTTTTGAGGTGCCCTCTTTCCAACAAAAAAGAATCATCAATATTGGTTCTCAAGTGGCGCCGTTATCGGGTAACATACATACAAAAAAAAACATACAGACGAATTGAGAACCTCCTCCTTTTTTTTTGAAGCCTTCTCCGTCTTATCTAAATTGTTTTCAAATTCAAATTCAAATTTAAAATAATCTTCATTTCATAGGTAAGCATTATTGCACTTGAAATCGTCACAAAGGTTAAACTCTATCGCTCAATCGTAAGGCAGATTCCCCTGTGAAGAATGAGCAAGACACTATAGGGGTTGCTCTTTGTAAATAACATTTGTACACATTCAACATTTACAATACATTTTTTTTTATTTGAAACATCTGAGATCGAGACTACCTCCATGAACTAAACGGGTTACTACCACGGATTTTTGTCATCCAAGTATGCAGAAGTTGTATAATAACCTTGAGTATAAAGTTTTTGTTTCACTATAGTTTTAAACCTCGTGAAAGGCAAATTTTGTACATATTATCAACCGGAATCTTGTTATAGAAGCATATACATTGCCCCTTAAATGATTTTTTTTAAGAAAAGCTAGTTTATTTTTATTCCTCGTATTAATGTTATGTCTATCATTATTTTTCATAAACAAATTACTATTCCTTTTAACATAAATTACATTTTCATAAATGTATTGTGAGGCTAGTGTAAGAATGTTAATTTCCTGAAACTTATCTCTCAAAGATACTTTGGGGCCCAGATTGTAAATTGCCCTAACTGCACGTTTCTGCAGGACAAAGATTCCATTGATATCGGCGGCATTACCCCAAAGCAAAATGCCGTATGTCATTAGACTGTGAAAGTAGCTGAAGTAAACCAATCTAGCGGTTTCGACGTCTGAAAGTTTCCTTATTTTTTTAATCGCGTACACTGCAGAGACGAGCGGTTTTGATAACTTACTTATATGGGGACCCCATTGCAATTTAGCATCTAACGTTATACCTAGAAATACAACTGTATCCACAAAATTCAATTTTTCGTTTCTAACTACAATGTTTGTAACCGTCTCTCTAACATTGGGTAATGTAAATTTCACACAATTTCTTTTTTTTCTCATTAAGGAGTAGGTTATTAACAGCAAACCAATCAACTACTTTAGATATAGCATTGTTCACATCGTCGTAGGAACATTGGTGCCTTTTAACTTGAAATAATAAGGAAGTGTCATCAGCAAACAATACTATCTTATGTTTTATACCCTCCATAAGGCTAGGTAAGTCATTAATATAAACTAAAAACAAAAATGCACCTAGAATTGAACCTTGAGGGACACTCATGCTAATTGCAGACCCTGATGATCTCGTACCATTAACATCGACCCACTGTACCCTACCACGCAAATATGATTTAAGAAGGTCGGGATCACGTTCCGCCACACCATAATGGCGAAGTTTCCTGACCAGTGTATCATGGTGCACACAATCAAAAGCCTTGGAAAGGTCACGTGAGACTTCCCATGCATCAAATATATGATTAATCAACTCGACACCAGCATCGGTTGTAGAGCGATCCTGAGTGAAACCAAATTGTTTAGGAGACATTAAGTTATTACTATAAAAATGTGCACACATCTGATTTAGAATATTTTTTTCAAATATTTTACTGAGAGTTGGTAGTATTGATATAGGTCTGAAATTGGTGGGGTCAGAAATACTACCAGATTTGAAAAGTGGAATATCTTTACTTTGCTTCATGAGGTCAGGAAAGATACCATCATCAACACATTTATTAAAGATACAGGCTAAGTAAGGCACAATACAATCAACTATAGAACTAATTATTCTGACTGAAAGATCATCAAGATCAGCAGTGTTTTTTGTGTTTATAGATTAAAGGCTTTAACAATGTCGTTTGGAAATACATGACGGAACCTGAATTATACAATTTATTGGGATTGTTAACGTACGGAATGTCAGTTAGTTTAAGGATTACATTATTTCTATAAGCTTTAAGTCGACCATTATTTATCGGAACAAATGTGATATTCTTTTTTGGCATTTTGTTAACAGTTATATTAAAAGTGGCCAATTGACCGCAGTGATCAGAAGTTAATTTATTTATAATAGATTTATTACGAGGTACGGCGTTAGTATAAATGTTGTCTAAACAAGTGGCAGTAGTAGAAGTTATTCTAGTAGGCACCAAGAAAAGATTCACAAGATTGTAACATTGGAAAAATGATATGAGCCTACTGCTAGCACTGGAATCTCCTAATAAGTTAACATTGAAGTCACCACAAACAGCAATATATTTATTTGGATTATTTAATTGGCCTAAAACTTCATCTAATTTTTTTTTCAAATAGTTCGTAAGATGAATGAGGGAGTCTGTACACGCTTGATAAAACAAGCCGTTCAAGCTCTATGCAGGATATCTCTATAGTCAGCTAAATAGATAGGCTCACAATATCTGTCCGTTCTTCAAATTTTAAATTATATTTAATAAGAATTAAAGAGCCGCCATGAATAGCTTTTTCTCTGCTGAACGAACTAGCCACCTGGCTAATGTATGTGTGACCTCTTAAGAGTTTTGGTGAAACTACAGGCACGTGACTTATCAACTCATGTCTCAGGGTGACGGTTGCAGTGCCCCTCAAATCTTTGCGGTTAAAGCTCTGAGTGATACTGCTATGGATAGGCTTTTTTTTATTTATTTCACGGAAACAAACAGTCATCAACATACAGGTAATAAACCAAAATTGATACACATACAGACCTGGAGTTCCAAAGTTGCTGGAGTTTTCCGACTTGTCGCTTACCACCACGATTTGTTTGTCCCGTCACTTGGCACTATAGAATTAGCCCGAAATGTTGGTTAGTGTGAAAAAATAAGTATAACGATTAAATAAACAAATAGTGTACCTTAAAGCACAGTTTTATTTCCAATGCAGGAGCAATCGCGTAAACTAAAGCGTAAAGAACTCGATGAAATAATTCTTACACGTGATAACTCAGCCGTACTAGTCGTATTATGCCCAATTTCAAGTTTATAGCTTAGTTGAATATCGATATATTGCATGGACAAAGTTAGTTTGAAAATATTTTTTTAATAGTTTTTTATTTTAGATACGACTGCAACCGAAGTCTCACTATGAAGGTTCATTTATAGCTGGTTTTGCAATCCCATTTCATAAGACGTGATTGTATCGAATCAAATTCCACAATAACATGCACATTCTTTTATGGATATGTCGTTTATTTTTATGTTTCAGAACTCTAGCAAACCAGTAATTTACATGGAGACCTTACTTCATGCTCGTGAATGGATCACTCAGTCAGCTACTCTTTACGCTATTGAGAAGCTTATCATTGACGTTGAGGACTCAGATCTAGTGAATGACATTGACTGGATCATAGTGCCTATAGCCAATCCCGATGGATATGAATTTTCTCACGACGGAGTAAGTAAACATAATTTAAAGGCAGCGGATTTTTAAATCATTAAGCATTGCAAACAAATTACTACCTAATATGCGTCCCTGAGGAATTTTGTAACCTTAATAATACAATTTTATATATTTCTACATATATAATTAGGGCTCTATGTACTTTGAGGAGAAATTCCTAAATATTAATCATCTGTCCTGCCCGTAATATAACACAAACGGAATTTTGTTTACATGGCATTTTAGCAAATTTGGTTTGGAGTACACTGTTGAACTAATGTCTAACGGAATTTTTAATTGCTTATAGAATCGACTTTGGCGTAAAAATCGTGCAACTGGTTACATGGTTGGTGACGTATGCGTTGGAGTTGATTTAAATCGCAATTTTGACAGCAACTGGTCATCTCATTCTAGCAACATCGTATGTTCCGACCTTTTCCACGGTCGAGAAGCTTTTTCGGAACCGGAAAGCCAAATTGTCCGAGATATTATCGAAGAACATATCGACAGACTGGAACTGTTCCTTGATATCCATAGTTTTGGAAGCATGATTCTTTACGGTATGGGCACAGGACAACTTCCTCCAAATGGCCTGTTTCTACATCTGGTTGGTATTCAGATGGCAACTGAAATAGATAAAGTTAAAACGTCTTGGAATCCTAATTACATTGTTGGAAATGTTGCGGCAGTTTTATATCAAGCGTCAGGAAGTGCTCAAGACTACGCTCAGGAAGTTACAAATCGTTTTGCTTACACTTTTGAATTGCCAGGATATAGATACGGCCTTGGGACCTTAGCAGGCTTCCTTGTTGATCCAGCATTTATTGAACAGGCTGGATTTGAGACGTGGGAAGGTATTAAGGCTGGTGCGAGATACGTAAGGGATAATTACAGAAACGCGTAAAGACATAATCTTCTGTGATATTTTCCAGTAAATATTTTGATAAAAGAATGTTGTTTTATTGTGATAAATATTGTTAAACGAAAAACCTAATCATATAATTTAAGATAAAGTAATGATTGATATTACTGATATAATAGTGTTTTCGCAGCCAGTTTACCACAAGGTGGGTATGCTAGCAGATGCTACGAGATGCATACGAGGATATTACCCGCCGGATAATGGAATACATACCACGTGTACTAGCTTCTATTCGCCTCATATCGTTCACGTTCTATCTCCGACGAACATTAAACGTACGTTGCGTCAAAAATGATAAATTGTTCGCTTGTAACAACGGTATTACAAACTACTTATTTGTGTTAATTATGATTGATGCGTTATTTATCAATAGATTAAAACTGTACATGACAATAAGATTATCGGGAATATTAAGAAAATAAATTACAAAGACGTCATAGGAATTTTAGATTATTATTTTTTTATTTAATAAAGTTTTATTCAAGTAAGCCTAACTCACAAGCACTTTTGAATAGTCAAAATCACACAAAAGATTACAAAAAAAGACAAGTCAAGTAAATAAAACAATTCATACAAAATGGTAAGTAGGTAACAAGACGATATAATATTAACTCCAAAATTTTTATCGTTCATGTACTAATCGACAGTATAATAACCCTTTTGCCAGAAGTTTATTTTTAACATACATCTTAAACTTATAAAATGGTAAATATGCAATTTCAGTCGGTATTTTATTGAAATATGTAATTCTTTCTCCCATAAAAGAATTACAAACTTTTTTGCAATCGGAATTGAGGCATGATTAATTTATCTTTATTTCTAGTATTCCGTTTGTGTATATCGCTGTGTTTCTTAAATACAGTAATATTTTGATGGACATATAAAATACAATTAAAAATAAACTGTGATGCTACCATAATAATATTAAAAGTTTTGAAAAAATTTTTATGGTAGACACTGTTTCCCAGTCTATATATAGACCTTACAGCTCTCTTTTCTAAAACAGAAATAGTCGCAATGTCAGCTGTTTTCCCCCATAGTAGAATGCCGTATGACATTAAGCTGTGGAAGTAGCTGTAATTTATTACAGCTACTTCCACAGCTAGTTTACTAGGCGAGCAGTTTCTTTATTTGTAAGTTCTTTAATTTTTCTTACCGCATATGCAGCCGAACTGAGTCTCGCTGCTAGGGCTGTAATATGAGGATTCTATTGTAATTTACAATCCACAGTGATGCCTAGGAACACTGTAGATTCAACCAATTTCAACAGATCATTGTTCAACATTATTTTACTGTTTACACATTTAACATTTGGAAGTGTGAAATTTATACACTTAGTTTTTTGGCATTCAGTTGTAAATTGTTCACAGTAAACCAATGAAGAACCTCTGCAAGAGCCTTATTTACGTCGTCAAAATTATTTTTTGTTCGGTTAGTTTTAAAACTCAAGGAAGTGTCATCAGCAAATAAGACTACTTTGCATCGGTTTTCTACAAAAAAAGGTAGGTCGTTCACATAAACTAAAAATAAAAAGGGACCTAATATTGAACCTTGCGGTACTCCCATTTGTATAGACGATCCAGACGATGTGCTTCCATTAACATTAACTCTTTGAATTCTGGAACTGAGATACGATCGAATCAATTTTAAATCATTATCACGGATTCCATAGCGTTTGAGCTTCATCAAAAGAGTGTTATACTCAACACAGTCAAAAGCTTTGGAAAGGTAGCAAAAAACACCAATGGCATTCTGCGACCCCTCCCAAGCCTCATAGATATGTTTTAACAACGCAATACCAGCGTCTGTGGTAGATCGGCCCCTAGTAAAACCATATTGTTCTTTATGGAGGAGGCGAAATTTCCTAAAATGTATACTCAGCTGATCAAGAATAATTTTCTCAAAGATCTTGCTAAGTGCTGGCAGAACAGAGACGGGTTGATAAATACTGGGGTCATCTTTACTACCCGATTTAAATAGTGGCAAGACTTTACTATGTTTCATAAGATCAGGAAATATACCTTTGTCAACACAGCCATTAAATACATCTACTAATACTGGAGCTATAATATTTTTGATATGCTTAATGATTTTAATAGAAATGTCCCACAAATCACAAGTATTTTTCATTTTTAAAGTTTTAAACGTTTTTAGTATCTTCACAGGTAACATATCTAAAATTAAATTGTTCTTCACACATGGGTACATATATTTTAAGTAGCTCTTCTGATTTTTATGAAGAAGCATTAAGTGACTTCGTAGTGACAATAGGTATATTACATTTTAAGTTGTGAAGTATGTATCGTATTATTGTTATTATTTAATCTTGATGCAAATTTTGACGTGCAGACGTAATTTACCACATACATCATTATCATTTCAGTCGAAAGACGTCCTCTGCTGGATAAAAGCCTCCCCCAAAGATAGCCATAGCAGTGGGCAAGGCACATTGCTCACAGAACAGATAACCGATGGGGCCAAACGGTTCTCTATTTACAATTGCGTATCGGAAGACGTTGATGACCTGGTGACGGTTGCCGATAATCCGCTGGATGCAAGCAGCGCAAGACCGGTCGTTGTGTCGATCTTTGAGGGAGACCTATGATGATAATGATGAAATTTCGTAAACATGACTTGAAAAACCTGTTTTTTATTAAACTTTGATTTAATCAGTGTTAAACTGTTACAGTTAAGGTTTTGAAGGGTAAAGGTACTGGTTAAATTATAGGCTCAAGGTGACTCAAGCTCAGAATGGCACTACAACTGTTATGGACAAGCGTGTAGCTTACCATCAGGTGCATGACTTGTTCGTCTCGTCACTTGATACTATAATCAGTACAGAGTACTAAAAAAACCGACCTCAAAAGTACGTGGAGTTACGTCTATTTGCCAAGTTTTATTGAAATATTCTTAAATTCGCCACTATACAGGACTTGACACTGGAGATATTAAAAATCGGTTCTCACTACTCAAAGTATATTGAAAGAAAAACGCCTTGAATTGGGGAAATAGCAAAATCAACCATTATAATAATTGCTCCTTAAGTAAAATTTAGGCGCTATTTATAAAAATGAATCAAAATGCGTGAACAGCCACCCTTAGAGGTGGATGATTTTCTTCAAAATGAAATGGAACCACTATAGAATTCCCCCTTTCCAACAAAAAAAGAATCATGAAAATCGGTTCACAAATACCGGAGTTATCGCGTAACATACATACAAAAAAAACATACAGTCGAATTGAGAACCTCCTTATTTTCTTTCAATAGATTAATATTGTGCATAGTAAATACTGAGTTGATGCTAACGTACACGCTACATTGTAACGAATTCATATTTATTTAAAAATGACGGTTGCAATTCTACATTTTCACTTTTTTCCGCTAAATATTCACGGCGAGTGTATCATATTATGTACTAACTCTATATTAAGTGAATTACGATTTATTATTGATAAATTTACGTAAACATCACGAACACGCGTAATACACAGCAGTGTAGCATGTTAAACACACCTCAGTACCTATGTCTATTGTGTACACACATGAGGTTTACATGTGCTTTTCACACACGAGTACATAATGAACACGCTACACTGACTACATCATGTGCAGTAACATTGCTTGTACTCTATCAATGCCTACTTTGAAAGCAGTACATATTGTAATAAAACCTCTCGAGCTCTTTATTCGCGATCCTTATAATGCATGGCAAACTTTTTTGGATACATAAATCGCGTATATTTCTTTTTTCATTTGACGTCAGCCGCGACTATGGGATCTGTTAAGCGTTCGAAACCTTGGTTTTGTTTGAAAAAAAAAAAGAAGAAATTTATTTGTCACAAAACTAAAAAATATCAATTTCAATTTACATTGATCTCTTAGTACTTAGATCTACCCAAAGTCTCTCTTTTTTAACCGACTTCAAAAAAAAAGGAGAAAGTTATACATTCGGCAGCTATGTATCTAAGGAATGTTTTATGTATGTTGTTCGATTTATCCGTCAATTTTTACATGGAGATATTTCTCTTTAAGTACTACAGAGTACCTGCTAAATTTTGATTTTCGACTGAATCCCTTTTAGTTGTTAAATTGACATTTATCCTCAAATTTGCAAATTGCCCAGCGGTTAACGACAAGCCGCACTGCCTTCTACCCCGTCCGGTGCTTGTCGACGTCGGATCTGTGTAAAATGTTCTCCGCCTGTTCTTATTTTATGCATGTTATTATACAGCGCTGGACAGGATTACAGATTGCGGGACCCGAAAGGCGACCCCCCGCACCTCACCTCCTAAACTCTAGGCTCACGTTGAAATACCTTATAGATGATTCCTCCCAAGCAGTACACCCATATCTAAATATATACTATAAGATATCTAATAGAATTTAATTCGATTGAATATTTTAAGAGTTCAAAATCCGTCAAGATATCTCGAAGAAGGTTTTTGTGATAATTTAAAGTAAAAGTGGGCACAACTTTATTAGTAGATCACAAGAGTGCTTTGAGAAACTATCTGTAGTGTTAAGAGTGATTATCTTTTTTCTCAAGTAACCCTTCTAGATTGCTACAAGACCATTTGTAGAATGTAGACAGTTTTTATTTAGTCTTGTAGACAGTTTCTAGATAATTTATAGTATATGATAGTTTTCTTAGTAATGCTATTTTAAAACCAAAATACTAAAGCGTTACAAACATACGACGCAATTCTCTTAATACTAATAGATTTCAAGTTTCATGGCTTACAAAATATAAACTATCAAAATTGCAACATGGCGAAATTAGATATAATATTTCTGACTTTTTCACGCAACGTTTCATCGTTTAGAAAGCGCGAATTGACGTGCGACTTTAAATACATTGTGAAAAGTGATGTAAAACTTGTCATAAAAGTAATGCGCTCGCTGAATTTTAAATATTTATGTATATAATATAAGTTTATATATTTATACTATAAACTTAATAAAAATACAGTTATCCATTTTGGGTTTTAAATGTTTATAGAAAGCTTAAATATACAAAATAACTCACAAAGCAAAACATTTCCAAGAAGTTCTAGGCTTCTTCAAGCCAATTTCAACTTAAATTTATTTTTTAAAAAGAAGAGAAAATATTTTCTCGGCTACTTCATAGACATTCTTTAAAAATAAAAATGGCGATAAGAATTTAAAGCTTTTTTCAAAACACTGTTGGGAGCATTTTGTCTATAGCTTTATCTATAGAAAAACTTTAGAATACGAAAAGATTATTTTTACTTCCTTAAGTGTGGTCGATCTTGTAGAAGAATATTCACTCCTATGAAGCTTTTATGATTGTCTACAAGACGCGATGTTTCTAAGCGATTTTTTCTTTTGACAGTATTACAAAACCTTTATAAAAGTTATAGTGAATGGTGAGTGTATTATGCAATAAAAAACTTTTCAAAACACTTTAAAACAATTTAAAAAATCCAATTTGTCGCAAAAAAACGTTATTCTGCATAAATAATGGCTTATCAATTGTCAACCGTAACCATGTGATTTGCAAAAAACCCATAACGATGGTTTGTTTATACGCTATTCAAATCGGAAAAGATTGTTTCGTTTTCAATGCGACAATCTAAAAATTCAATTGTCCCTTATTTACCGATATATAAATACAATACCAAGTGCGAAAAGATTATTACCAAAATCGTGTCATAACCATCCCACCTGGTAGGAATATCTGAAATGTTTTTCAATAAACAGTTTGCTTCAAATAACTGTCACATCTAAAATATATTTGATTACTTTATTTGACATTTTTCATAAAATAAAAATAATAATACTAGGCGAAAACATCGATACCTTATTGAACAACATGGTTTCTTTTGAATCAATTCCCTTAAATCGATGTTCAAAATTTGAACAACATGAAATATTGTGTATTTTACTAATTTAGAAATATTTATATATTGTGGACCTAAGCGAAGACGACAATTACAATACATTTCAAAATATTCAAGAACATATATTAAGGCATATATTAAAAAAAATTCAACTCGAGATCGTTTGTCTAATAACCATTTTATCATGTAAATCATACGTAATCTAAATCCTCTTATAGACCTGCCTTACACATAAGTCCAACAATAAGAGCATAGATAAATAATTTTACACAAATTTGTATATATTCATATCATTCCATCAAGACTCGAGGGCAATCATGATCCTTAAGTTGTTGCTGCTAGTTATTAGTGTTGTTCTGTTAGTGGAAGCAAAGAATGAAGACTATAAAGGGTAGATAATGACTTGTAAATACTCCAACCATGTACTCGTAGAAATTTTTTTGGCAAACTAAAATACGATTTTCGAATAAAACAATACTTGAAATTAGTGACTTCTAAGAAAACGGTTCAAAGTTTTTCCGTTACCATTTTTTATTTACAAAACGTTTTTTTTTTAATGTTCAATTTCAACTATCGCTTTCAGATATAGAATCTATAATGTCAAATTCAAAACAGAGGAACAACAAAATGGGTACAACAAGTTAAAAAGTGATATCATAGACTTTATTAGAAGACCTTCTTTTGGTAATAACATTGTAGGGAAAGCCGTGGTTCCCCCCTCTCATTTCGATTTCTTCGAAGAACAGTTGGAGGAGTTGGCAATACCAATAGATGTAGCTGTCGAGGACTTGTATGAGTAAGTATCACTTTTTTAAGGATACCATGGCAGTCCTTTTCCTTTTAAAGAATTACATTACAAATTAACAATTATATTAAACAACATCATATTCGTTGTTCTGGTCCCAAAGTAAGTGACTAAAACACTTGTGTTAAGGAAATTGGAAACAACGACGGTACCAATAACACCCAGGCTCGAGATAATATAGGAAAATTAGTTTTTTCTATATTGACTCGGCTGAGTATCAAACCTGGGACCTTAGAGATGGCGACACCATAAAAGGCACTCGACCACTGAGGTCGTCAAACAGGTTTCCCAGGTCAGTAAAACAAAACAAAAGATCTTAGGGTACATGCAACAAAATTATGTATACTTCTGAATGTCACTGTATTCATTCGTTCAGTAAAATCAACGATATCTGTGTGATAGCGCACTAGATGTGTTCCATGCACACGCTGTGTTTCGCTAATGTGCGGTGAAGACACAATACTTCAATATCGTAGATTAATAAGCAAAAGAGTGTTCTGAAAACATAATGACAGAGCAGGGATAATATATAAATATAGTAGTTACTATGGCTACCATATTTAAATTTAAAAAATATAAAAAGAAGATTAGGCTGCATGGTCTAAAGACCTTTGCCTTTTCGCAAGGAAAGTACATAACATAAAATCAATAATTTCAACAAGTCGACTGTATTTTTTTCTTTTACTTAATTTGTCGTAATATAATAATAATAGTAGAAATGTATTGTTTAACTATCGTTAATTCCCCAACTATGGATAGATATCGTTGGTAAACACTCAATATTAATCTGCCTGCTAGTTCATTCCCAATAGGTATATAGGTATAGACAATCACCTCTGTCCACGCTACTATGGCACTGATACTCTTTGACAAAATTCGACATTAAAACAAAACACTGTCACTATTGGTAGTGTTTTGTTTGGAACATGTAGTTGCTGTGAATGTTCTTGTCTATAGTTGAAGTCGTTGAGTAAAGTGTATTAATTGCAATTAGATGTGAAATTTACCAAAGCGCAGTGAGCAGAGAGAGCGACGCTTTCACGGTAGCTGACTGAAATTGAACGACCGAGTAATTTATAAATGGAATGACTCGGCCGTTCCTTAACCGATTTGCATGAAATTTCAAATATTATTGTACAAGTCGTAGCAATACCCAAATTTTTTAATATTGACCTATAACCTGAGATAAATAAGGTCAAAAGTCACCATGTTAATGGAAACATATTTAGACTTCGCCATGGGAAGTGCTGCCAACATATCTACTTCTACCGCCGAGCAATAATGTTCACGTTACTGAGTTTCGGTTTTGAAGGGCAAGGGTACAGGTGAAATTACAGGCACATGGGACTTGTCAACTTTTGTCTTAGGGAGGGGCAGGACGCCTCAACTCTTTGTGATTTAAAACTCGGAGTGGCCACCATGCGCACAACTTGTTCGTCACGTGACTTGTTGTAAAATATTGCGCTTGTAAATGTAAAGAACTATGAAAAAAGTATTATAAGAAATTCAAATCTGTGCTTCGGTAGGGAATCGACATTGAGCGTAGCCACATGCAATATTTCTTAGTGTTATTTATCATTGGTTACCTGTACATGTACACATCCGTAACACAGGCCAATTCCAAGTGTAGTCTCCAGTTTCTTACAAAGATGTATTAATGATAAGTCCATAATATTAATTACTTATTTATAAGTAAACTGTGTAAAGAGAAAAATAAAGATTATTATTGTTATACTAAATAATAAATCAATAAAATATACAAATTGCAGGCATTTGGAAACGGTAGAGAAATCACGTCCTAGAACAACAAATGACGATCCGGATAGAGAGTTTGATTTTGATAGATACCACAGATATGAACAAGTAAGTAAAGTTATCATGGAATAGATAGGCTTATTTTGATAGTTTGCAAAGTTTTGTGGAAGTAGGAATAAAACAGATGTTTTTAATGAAACATCTGTAATAAGAGGAATATAAATAAACTGGCAGTTCTTGACAGCCCTTTACAAAGGCCCAAATTCATTTACAGTACGTATGAAACTTGATGAGCGAACAAACGTCAAAACGGCCATCATAGCGTGTCGGTACTTTAAGGGGCATGTGCACGCTTCTACAATAAGATTCCGGTTGATATTCAAAATTTGCATTTTACGAGGTTTGAAACTATTGTGAAACAAAAACTTTATACTAAGTTATTTATTATTACACAGCTTTCGCGTACGTGATGACAAAAGTCTACGATCTATGACATTTGAAATAAATATTGTGAATGAATAAATATGCACAAGTGTTTGTTTATAAGGAGCATCACCCAGAGGGTCTTACTCATTATGTATGGGTAGTACGTTTAAACAATATAACAATTTCAAGTGTAAGTAATTTGTTTACCGATGAAATAACGATAATGTAGTTGAATTCAGACTAATATTACAATTTGAAATACAATGTCAAGGGGGTGTATAAGCGTCATAAAAAAGTGGTGTCAAAATATAACGACATCCAATAAAAAATAAATTTCAAAGAGTATCATAGTATCTATTGTATAGAATCCATTAGCCAATGCAGTTTGTTTCATTAAAGTGAAAAATACTTAATTGGTAAGCAAGGCTGCAAAAGTTGTTGTTCGACGCGAGTGCTAGTACTGAAACCTGAGCAAGCGAAATAGCCTAACCGCTCACGCGATGCGCTCCTCCTACCGCAAAATGGCGGCTATTTGGTTTCGCAAATTAGAAAAGCATTCAGTTTAAATACAAGTTTTTATAAATAAAAATTATTATTCTGCATAGCTAAATAAATACCCTCCGTACTACAACAAAAACATCACAAATAAAATGCAGTAATACACCGCAAATCCTGCACTTAAAAGCACTAATGAAATTTTTGGTGTACTTGGGTAAATATGATAATATTCCGTTTGATTGGTTCTCACGTTTACCATGAAATTATTCCTTAAAGTATAGTTTATAAACATTTATATTCAGGGTAAACTTAAAAAACGCTACTTACGGTATGTTTTCAATAAATAAACACCGAAATCACCAGCCCAAACAATAACACACACGATTGTCGTGACGTATTTTTGAAGTTGTTTATTTTTTTAAATGACAGACCCAGGCATTAAAACCTTTATGGTTTGCTAGAGTAGTTACCGAAATAGCAATTAGTATTAGTTCTTTTACCTGTTATAACTTCGATATTTGATAAACCGGTATAAAATCATCAACGGCACCTCTAGGTGCGGTATGCGTCTACGGCTGCATGTATCGCGTGAGCGGATAAGATTGAACCACGAGCGAAGCGAGAGTTTCAAAGGTAGAATCCTGAGCGTAGCACGAGAGGCAATACAACTTTGGTGCCGAGCGAAACACACAACTTTTCACCTCACTATAGCGAGGAAAATGGTAGATGAAAGAAAAATAGTTGAACTATAACAAATCAGATTTAATAAAGACAATTAGTTATCGCTGTCAATTTAATGTCAAGTATAATAAGAATAAAATATACCAACGGATTTATATTACCTATATAATGTACGAACATTGTGTTTTTTGTTCATCGAAAGAAAATTTAGGTGCACCACAGTCCATCGTCAGCGTTTTACCACGCTAGCGTGGAAAAAGCGATTTGAGCTCAGATTTTAATGAGAACGAAAGCCTTTCCGAGCTAGTGAGGTGGAGAATATATTATTGATTCGTGAAATTAAACAGAAACGTACCATTTCAGATACTTAATCATCTTCATGCTCTTCAAGAAGCACACGAGAATTCTACGATAAGAATTACAGTCAACGAATTTGACAGAACTGACGAAGACAGACCTATTGTATATTTGACAGTATCAGAAAACAGTGCAACTACGGATAAACCAGTGGTTATAATCGAGGGTGGCATAAATCCTAGAGAGTGGATCACTGTACCAGCAGCTTTAAATATTGTGAATAGCCTGACTCAAAATGCAGCAAGTTTCTTGAGTAGGGCAGACTGGATTATAGTTCCTGTTTTGAATCCGGATGGATATGAATATACGCATACAAACGTAAGTACATGACTTGCCGTCGAATAAAAGTACAAATAACAAATATTAGACATAGACGAGATGAGCAGCTCGTGCTGGTAAGCGATACGCCTGTCCATAACAGTTGCAATGCCTCATCTGAGGGTTACTGCCACTACGCCCGTTACCCTGAGACATAAGTTGACAAGTCCCATGTGCCTGTAATGTCACCAGCACCCTTTACCCTTCCAAACTGGAACGCAGTTATGCTCATATTACAGCTTGGTGGCAGAAATAAATAAGGTGGCAGTACTTCCCTGGACGAACTCTTTCACATCTTACCTAAGTTGCTCTGATCCAGTAGTTAAAGTTCTTGTGTATTGGAAATCGGAAACAATTGCTCTACCACAAACATTCGGCCTCGAGACAATATAGAAAAGTTAGTTATCTACATTGACCCGCCCGGCGATCGAACCTGAGACCTGATGACATCATCAAAACCGGTGTGTAAGCCAGTCGATCACGGAGTCGTCAATCCATGATGACTGACTGGAAGAGAGTGCTATAGAGAAAACAGGAAGGATTTTAGTGATATTAATAATTTAAGTTTAGATTAGTACCGATATGTTTTATTTTAAATTTTTATTTTTTAATTCCGGTTGATTGTGCTTTTATTTTGTTTTTGAGTTTCTAAATTGATGTAACGCCATGGTAAATACCGTTATAAATACTTTTTGTTATTGAATAAATAAATAAATGCTACAAAGGTATCTGTTGTACATAACCTTCGGTGATATTCTGTCAAAGCCCTCAACGGTTTAAAACACATCAAAAATTACCGATTACTCTTACTTAACAATTCTGAAATGTTTCAGAATGTTAAAGGCGGTTGAGATGTTGGATTTTTACATCTTCACCATTTCGAGTAATTTGGAATAACACAGACACTAATTAAAAGTAAATTCTTGCGCCAACCCAAAGCCCTTGCCAAGTATTTGGAAAATATGAAACGAGAAGATAAAAAAAACATACTTTTTGGTTTGTTTTTATTTCTTGTAACAAATCCTTCAAGTAAAACTTTTAACATCTATTTGTCATTTACACAGATTCTGTTTATTCAAGTGCGATAAAATCTTATAAAATAGTGTAGATTAAAAATATTTATTGCCAAAACAACACACTAATCTCATTAATGATTACACTTGCTAATTATTTAGATATAACTTACTACGATTATTATTGTTCGCGACAAACGGAACGCCGCACAGTGGGCCCGAATTGATAATTCTTGGACATAGGAATAACTTGTGGACTATCGAGCAAATTTTTTTTTATATGATAGATAATAACATTCCTACTAACTTTTATTAGTGTGTATTTTCTTGAAAAGTTGATAGTTTCGGGGAATTTTTTTTTGTATGGAGAAATATACATTTAATTTTTTTTCTCAAAATATACGAAAATGTAACGTGCGTGGGTTACTCACAGTATAGTTCCAATCATTTTCTATGTAGAAAAAAATAATCCATCTGCATGTACTTGCGTCTTTGTAAGTAAAGGTGCGGCAAAATTGCTAACTTTTTTTATGTACTTTTTTAACAAAATACGTGAGCTTCGACTAAAGAAAAATTAATTTAAGTGCAATTTAGAATGTTATAATAATAACACGAAACTTAAGTAGAAACTAGTATATTGTGTTAAAAAATAAATAAGAAATCTAAAATTTTGACACCTTTTTATACATAAAGCCACAAGTACCTGCAGATGGATTATTTTTTTCTTGATAAAGAATGATTGGACCTATACTGTAAATAAACCACACACATTACATTTTCCTACAATAAGAGATAAAGAATAAAATGTATATTTCTCAGTACAAAAAAAAATTAATTACCTTTTTTCTCAGAAACTATCAACTTTTTAAAATTATAGAATGTACAATACCAGGTCTTAAATTTAGAAAAATACTACCGGCCATAATCGGCTATCTTCGGATTCATAGAGCGCCGTTTCGGTCGCACAACGGACAAATCCGAAATGTTACTTAAGTATGAGTGACAGAGACGTCGCTGCTTACAAACCTGAAATCAGCCGATAGTCTTTTTCTAAAGCTCGATATGTAATTTATACGGCCTGGTACTATAAGTTCGCGGCGTGCGCGGCACCTTGCAGGGCGCGTGTTTCGTGGCGTGCCCGGCTTCTTGGCGGGCGCGTGTTTCGTGGCATGCGCGGCTCCTTGCC